CCCCAGTCACCTCTAAATTACAGTGAGTAGGTTGAATTAGATCAATTCACTAGCACACTAACCATGTTAATGTGAGCTTTCAAGGCAAGCACAATGTAAAGAAAATACATACTTTATTACATAACCCCGTAATAATTCAATGGGCTATTTCACTCCAACGTACCACAGACTACTAAACTTGAACAACCCATAAACCCTCCCATTCCTCCGTTGTGGGGCACCTACTAGAGGATGGGACTCATTATTTAGGTTATAAATTTACGGTGTTCAGGTTGACTGACGACTGTATCATCTGACCAGTGAGTAAAGGTCTGGCCTGGGAGGGCTTTCCCTGTGACCCATGCAATCACAACCCTCGCATGCATCCCTGTCCCTCAAGATACCTGCTTTTCTCTTAGCTTGTACCATCAATTTTGCTGTACATACACTGCGTGTACCTGCAAGTAAAGAGTTCAAAATTATCAACCCTGCAGTGACTCTCTTCCCAGTTGCAGTAGTAGCGCAGCTCACAACAGGCCATTTACTACTTCACACATTGGAGTAAATAAACACAGATAATGGGTGTTTTACTCAACGCAGCATAGTTGACAGAAATGTGTCCCAGATAAAGCAATGTTAGTGGAATGCACCTACGCACCCTTTCAGATGAAGACAAGGCATGATGGTAGCTTTCATTACGACCCCTTAACACACTTGCACATTTCCATGTCAGTTACTTTTGTGGTATCTTTAACCTCAAACTCCGTACCTCAAAAGACTAAGTTGTGGACAACATCTCGATTTTGTTCGGGCATTTGGACTCATGCTCGCCAGCAGTAATTACTCAGCTTCATTTCCAATTCTGTATAAGTATATCAATACCCACTAATAAATTAACATTTTGCAGACATCCAGGTGACCCAAACAATGCTCATGACCACTTTTCTTTTCAGAACCCAGCTTTATTGGCAAGATTCCGTGTAGCCACCTAAGATAATTCCTTTATGTCAATCCCCTACAGGAGAAATTCATTTTTGACACCAGCAGCAAATAGGTCCACCAAGCAGCGCAAAAAAACAGAAAACAAAGAATATCACAGTAAAAATATTGCTAATATTATTAATATTAGAAGATATAAAAACTATAAATTAAAGTATATACACTATGCATTGTTCAAGTAGGACATGGAGTGCAAATATGAGCAAAAATTAAACTTGACTAAAACTAAAAAACTAAAACTAAACTGTATAAGTGGAAATTAAGTAAAACTAATTATTAATAAGATACTTATCAGAATACTAATTAATAACAATAAATTGAAAAATACGATTTAAACTTATTATTATATATAATATTTAACATAATAATAAAAGTATTTTGTGTGTGCACTACTAAATGTACGTGTTTTTAATTACTTATTGCCAATACTCTTTTTTGGGGAATAACGGATTACATGTTTAACGTAAGTTACGTAATCAGGATACATAAAAAAGGTAACTGTACATTACACATTTTAAATACATCAATACAGTTGATTGTCATACTTTGATTAGCTTACTGAATAAATTTTTAAAAAGGGAATTCGTAATTGTATCAGTTTTAAATTATTATTATTATTATTAACAATTTTAAAATAACCCTCCAAACCCTGCTCATACTCATAATATTCTAATACAACTAGCAACACTACAGTATAAAAATACTCCATTACAAGTAAAAGGTAGAAAATGGTAAAACATAGAGTAAATGCACTAATGATCATCAAAACTCAAAGATTCAAGGGTTTTATTTGTTAATATGCTCATTCAATACTGTATGTGCAGTGAAATACAATGTGGCATTTTATTAAGGTTGTGCTTTAAGACTAATGTGCAATAAGGAGTAATAATTACAGTAAACATTTAGTAGTAGGTTAATAATCACCATTATAACAATACAGACGAAACAGCACTGTACAAAAATCATCTTTGGTGGTTTGGTGGATAAAACATATTTAAAATAATGATCAACAAACAAATAACACTGTGTTGTGAGATTAATCAAATTCAGAGTGATTACATCTGTTAATATTACTGCAGCTGAGTTTCCTCTCTCTGTGGAATCACATTAACCACAATCTTCCCTGTGTTCTTGTTGGCCTCCATGTGCCTGTGAGCTTCTGCGATGTCCTCCAGGTTGAACGTGCTGTCAATCACTGGCCTCAGGGAGGATGTCTGGTCTGAGAAACACGGTAACACTCTGTGTGAGAAAGCTTTTACCAGCTCTGATTTGTACTGTGAAGAGAAAAAAGAAATGCAAAGCCAGAATCAGGCTCAGCCACAGACATGCAAATATTCACTCATTTTAATGAACCAGAAAGGCAGCACTGTTAGATCTTCACTCGACATGACTCAGCACGTTCACATGCAGAGATGAAGAAAAAAACGCAAGCTGGTGTGTCATTTCAGTTTGGTCTGAATTTCTCACCTGAAGGCTGCGAGAGCGGAGGAGGCTGCTGAGCAAGTGGCCGCGCTTGGAGAGCAGTTTGCCCAGCAGATCTCCCTCTACCGCCCGGCCTCCCATGGTGCCGTACAGCACCCACCGGCCGTCGGTGGCCAAAGAGCTCACATTTTGCTCCCAGTTACACCCACCAATGCAGTCAAGGATGATGTTTGCTCCCTTGCCTGTGAAATTAAAATGTATTGAAGTTATTTAACTGAATTGTGCAGGACTTGTTTTTACTTGCCACTGTGACTGAAGGGTTTCCTCATAGTGGGAATCATTTTAAAAGAAGTACAGTCTGGACCTGCCCTATATGAAACGTGTCCTTAGATTACTTCTGTTATGACTTGTATGTAATTAATCTGCATTTTCATCATTTTTTATGGATTAATTAAAATATAATGATGATTTCTATATACTGTCAAAAAATCCCATTACCAACAATGAAATAAAAAGCCTAATATATCTGATTCCTCTGTGCCAAAATTATTAAAAAGTGTGCAGGATTTAGTTGCATCTAGTGGAGAAATTGTACTTGTAATTGCCACCAACTGAATACAGCTCACCCTTTCAAGTGTGTAGTAGAAACTATGGTGGCTGTGAAACCCACAAAATACCTGAAAGGCCCTACAGCCAGTGTTTGGTTTGTCTATTCTGGGCTACTGTAGAAACATGTCGGACTCTGAGAAACTGCTCCCTCTGTAGATAACAATCTCAGGTGACAAAAACAAAACAAGTTCTATATTCAGGTGATTATACACAAATGAAAACATACCTGATAAAAACAAAACCTCTTTCCTGCTATAAATACTAGTGGACACTTGTAAATTCCAGCAATAAAATATAAAGTAATTTTAAGTTTAAACATTTTGATGAACTAATGGTTTTTATTTTGCCAGATTTTAGATTTTACATCCACTCCCCAACATACAGACAATATACTGACTATCCCCAATAGTCCCCAATAAAAGTATTTACTCCTGTTTGAGTATTTTGATAAAAAACCTGCTGTTTTATAAAATAAGTTAGCCTTTATTAAAAAGATTAAACTATATATTTGTGACGGACAGGATCAGGTCTGAAAGTATTGATAGTTGGACTAACACATTATTGGTTTTAGTCTTTTCATGGGATTTACTGACAGTAAGAACAATATAGAAGAACCATTTCAAGTTTAAACCTGTAGCCAGATCTTTTATAACTTTCTATTCCAACTTACCAAAAAAGTGTTTTACATCTTCATTAACAAAAGTTTTTAACAAGGAGAAGAAATATGTAGTTAATATGAGCAGTGATTGCTTCTACGGCTGCAAAGAGGAAGAAAATCCAATCAAAAGTCCATATAACTGTGACATATTGTCTGATGGATCGCTGTAATACAAACAATGCAGTTAGAGTAATGACCGATTAGCCCCGTCCCCTGCGGCACAGTGAACTCTCTACACATCTACACACTTCACCTCCTGTAAAGTCATGAACTCCTTGCGCGAAGCTCTCCTCTCTGTAGTTAAACCCAGCTGCTGCTCCCAGGCTCTCAGCAATCTTCAGTTTTTCGGGGCTCCCCGCAGTAACGATGGGCACGGCACCAAACAGACGAACCAGCTGAACAGCAGCTGTTCCGACTCCGCTGGCTCCAGCATGAGCCAGCACCACTTCACCCTCCTTCACCTGAGCTGTGGCAGAGAGGACAGATGGCAACAAGATGCAAGTGCAGAATTTAATATCGTACCCCTTGTTAATTATAGAAAGAGGGAATCATACTGAACCACATTCACATTTATCAATATTTCTGCCTTAGTTTTAACTTGTTTAGAGCCTCACATGAGCAGAATTATTCCTTGTTTCTTTAATTTTCAGGGAATATCAACTTACAACTTTAATTATTATGGTGCTAGAATACATGTAGGAGCCATGTATTGATTTGTGTTGTGTTGGCCTCAGGAATCTGTGCGCAGATTGTGTGGCTGTACATTTTTTTTATTGTTTTTGTGCTACTTATTGGAAGAGATCAACAGACTCTGGAGGACACATATAAATAAAGGTCCTAATTTGCAAAGTACTGGTAAAGACTGAACATTGTCTGTCCGCATATACGTTACAAACAATTACCTCTAAGTCTTTGTAGCCATTACCCAAAAAATATATATAAAAAATAAGTGCTACATGCATAAAATAATAAAAAATAATACCAATAAGATAAAAGAAAGAGTAGAAATGAGTACTAAGAGGAACACAAACAGTTAAAGGGCATTTAAATAAAATGTTCTGTGTTATTTCCAATGATAATTCCCTGCAGAAAGATGAATATTCTCTAATAAATAACAAACACGGTTGCTGTACCTACGAAAACCAGCAGCTGAAAGGCAGTGAGCCAGGCCTCTGGGATCGCAGCGGCCTGGCAGAGTGTGAGATTAGGGGGAACGGGCATGAGGAGCTCCTCAGGCACAGCAACATATTCTGCATATCCTCCTCCACAGAGCAAGGCCATGACCCTGTCATCGGGCTTCCAGCTTGTTTTCACCCCTGGGCCCAGAGTATCCACAGTACCAGCCACCTCCAGGCCTATGATATCACTCTCACCAGGGGGAGGTGGGTACAGTCCTCGCCTCTAAACAGAAAAATAATACACACAAGAATTGCAATATATGAGCCGAGTTTTCAAAATCAGGACCACTTGGAGATTGTAGCTTCTGCTTTGTATTGTATTGTAGTTCACCTGCAGTAAGTCGGCCCTGTTGAGAGCAGTTGCGTGAACTTTAATTAGGATTTCCCCGTCTTTAGGCTGAGGTCTCGGGACAGTTTGCAGCAGTAAATTCTCAGGTCCTCCTGGTACGTCGACACACACTGCCCGCATCATCTTGGCAAAGCTAGAGTAGCACTTGTTCCAGGCCCATAAAATAAAGATTTTAAATTCAAGATTTAGTCATGAAACAAAATTCCTTTCTTGCTAACCTGAAGCTGGTTGATAAATGAAACAATTTAACCTATAGCTGCTTTATACTTCTGCTGTTTTAAATACTCACTGACTTGTGGGTGTTTCCCAGTAAAAATGTTGCAGTGCGCAGGATGTGATGCATTTGATAGTCTCAGCAGTGACAACTGTGATTAAAGAACAAAAGTTTTTAAAAAAACATACGTATATCTTTGTACAGTGTTTATTCTTTATGATTCATTTCTACTGTAAATATGATCATTTCTATGCTTCTACACATCTGTCAATAGACCACACACAATATAAAAAATACAAACATGCTTTAGTTCACTTTTCTTTGTCTTAACAACACAAAAATGATCCTGTCTGGTGTTCTTGCACTATGTAACTTTTGGCTTCGGGACGGGACAAGTTCATAATGCTTTAACTGCAGACAGGCAGCGAGACGGCCCCTGAATGAGTAATATTAGCTGGTTTGCTGTGTCTTGTGTTGTTGCACTTGCTTAACGTGTTTGGAGAGTTGTCAACTCGTTAGTTTTTCATCATAAGTAATGTAATCATAAGAAATGCACGTGCACAGCCGTCCATGTTCAACATTGGGATTGCAACTGCCAAATTGCTACAAATACCAAATCTTACATATTTTTTATTATTATTTATTTGCACATGAGCATACAAAGAGGTTTGAAGCCAAAAAATGCTTATGAAGATACCTCCCCCTTCACAAATATAATCATACTTTAAAAACAGATAAAAACAATGATTGTGTAATACAACATTCAAGCAGCTGTAATTCAATATTGATAGAAATGTACAATTATTTTACCAGATTAAATACATAACATTGAGGTGTTATGAATCTTTGTTAATTAGAGACTTTTTCAGATGTTTTTTGAATAAAAATGAATAAAGATAAAGTAGATACTGATGGTATTGATGGGAGTAAGTTGTTCCAAAGAGATGGTCCTCTGTATTTCAATGAATATTGATTAATATATATATATATATATTCAATATATATTATCTGAAAATACAGAAGATGAAAGTCCTTAAGAGTGTCTTGTATAATATGAGTTATCTTACATAACGTTGCTTTAAATACAGCCAGAAATGTACTTTTACGACCATCATTATTTCAGAATTTGGGGGAATCAACCTTTAGAGCATCAACATAAAAAAAATAACCTATGGAGACGTATTATGGGCCAGTTGGCTTCCCATACCGGTGCAGAAACATGTAGCCAGCCCTGGAAACTTAACTGTGTCTTAACGTCGAAACTATTAAGGAGAAGCAGCAGAAGAAACAATGGGAAGAAGACAGCAGAGGTTAAAGTAAAAAGGGAGAAGAGGAACTTGTAATAGTACATAAAGTCAGTACTGAGATGAATGAGGGTCAGTGAAGTTCCACGATTACGTTACGCAACGCGCCTGCGCAGTATTGACAAAGGGTTCAAAACTTTAAAAAAAACTTTAATTAAAGTGTCTAAATTGAGACTACAGATCGATGACAGGTACGATTAGGAGAAATCAAAGCGCCATTTCACCGTGTAGTATTACGATATCTGCTAGTGTGACAGTGAATCACTCTGTTGTCTGTAAATTATTGTTAAAAGCATTAGAAATATGAACTTACCAGCCGGCGATGTCAACAGTTCATCACCTTTAAGGAGACTATTTGAGTTTTTGGGAAGTTCAGTTGAGCCATCATGCAGACTGGAGATCAGTTTGGCGCGGGAGGGATCAAACCACCACAGGGGCAGGCTCTCTTGCACAAGACAGGGCATTTTATTAAAGGTATACTGCACATCATTTCAATAAATAACATTATATGGCATCATATTGGCATCATCAGGGCGACTGAGGACTCAAAAATATGATTAAATGTTTCTTTTTCTGGCAGGTATATAAATGAAAGTAAAATAAAGGAATTTATCTTGCAAATAAGGTTTTAAATTATGTTCTTATGCAATCCTTCCCTTCCATTTAAAGTCACCAAATAGTACAAAATGGCCATTACAAGTTCCTACAGTCCCTGTCAGTGTCTTCAAATGCCTCGTTTGGTCAAACCAGCAGTTCAAAACCCAAAGACAATCAGTTTACTATCACAGAAGACTGAGAAAAACAGGAAATATTCACATTTAAGAAGCTGGAACAAAAACATTTTGGCCATTTTTCTTAAACATCATCAAGATCTGTGCAGATTTTCTGTCCAACAACTGATCGTTTAATCATTTCAGCAGAGAATAAACAGTGTGTGTGGACCATTATGCAGGGAGATCAATAACAGTAAATATAACTGAATAGTAAAATAAATAAAAAAAACATAAATATTAGAAATGTGCACATTTGATGCCTGATACATGTTTAAAACACTAGTTCCTTTTAAGATATTCTGATAAGACTCTCCATAGTGTTTGCTTCTGAAGTGATTTACCATTAAAGTAAAGACATGACCACACCGGCTGTATAAAATCATATATCTTTATATTTTAGAAGTAATCTTATTATAATAAACTATAATATAAAAAACTTAAAATATAACTTATAGATCCCAAACAGTGAAAGATCATGTGAGAATGTAGTAGCATTATCCACTTAAGCACTAAAGCTGCATACAATTAAAAGTATTTTGCACAAGGTGAGTCATTGTTATCTACTGATTGTATAATCTGCAAGAAAGCCCTGTGACTGCCCTGCTAAGGCATTTTGAAACTGAATCTCTAGGGAATGTGACAGTACACAATGACCAACAACCCCATCCACTTTACTTCAAATATAATAGGCTATTGTATTACACTGAGACAGCCATAGCAGCAAACACACCTGTAAGACACAGCTCTCTGGAGGACGTGGCACGCACATCAGGTATGAAAATGACATCCTTTGATTTCATTAAATTTAAAAAGTGACTGAATAAAGGGACAGGAATTGACTGAAAAACGCACATTTCTCCCTCTAGCCTTTGTATACAATGGATCAAAGCCTCAGAAGACCTGAAGCGCTGCAGAGAGACCTGAAGGTGTTGAACCAGAAGGAGGAGAGGGATCTCCAGCAGAAACTAAACATGTTGGACAAACAGCAAAAGTACACTCGCAAGATGCTTCAACAACGAAGAGACTCGCTGGTAAACGAACAGAGAAGAGTAGTGATGGTCAAAGTCTGTGAGCCTAAAGCTACAGTCAACATCGCCATGAAAGAAATCGGAGAACACAATAATGCAGAGACACCCTTCAGTAGAGGTATTCAAACATCTGATGGCAGAAGATTAAATTCCAGCCAGTCCCAGTATCACGACAAGGGATCTGAACTGGTGGAGCAGAGTCGGTCGATATCGGCACCACCAACGTCACTCACCAGTTCAGTGAGACACAGAGGAAACATCCAGAGCAGCCTGTCGCTCATGCAGATGAAAAACATCGCCACTATAGACTCAATATCAGCCAAAGAGCTGGCCAGGCAGCAGCGGAGAGACCGAGAGGAAATGGAGAGGCTGAGACAGTTTCAGAGGGACACTTTACACAAGAGGGTGGCCTCATTTATAGAGAAGCTCAAGGACAAAACCCAACATGAAATACAAGTGGAACCGCCATAGAGGAACTCAGAAAAAATCCCTTTCTACTCATAATTTAATACCTCATTTGTAAGAAGAAGAAACGTTTAACTGACAGTGTTTTTTATTATAAACAATGACAATGTACATATTATATCTTTAAAAATGTAGAAAAGTTTCATTATTTCTGAATAAATTACACAATATTCCCCATCTTCCTCATGATTATCAAAGCTTTGTGCACAGGAGTCTCCATGAGGAGGCTGCAGTTTTTCTTCCACTCTGGGGAATCAGGAAGCTCTTTCTCTGCAAAAGAAAAAAAAAAAAAAGTGAATATTACAAGGAAGTTTCTTATAGCGCTATTACCATATTTGTTAGAAGGAAGTATTCAACATTTGAATATGTAAAGTTTGAGATTTACTGTTTATACCTGACGTTGTATTTGAAGAATACCTTCCCTGTCTGGCTCGATGCAACAATTTATCATTTTATTATTGTGAACTAACTTATTGAACAAATTAAGTTATTTAATTCATCCTCTTACCTTCCTAAATGCTAATGTGTGATGCAGTGATTATTTACATCATTGTATGAATCTATACATTTTCAATATATTAATTAATAGAGACGTATTTCACGGCATCTTTTTAGGTAAACAGTAGGTAAACAGGTGCAACCAGTGACCAAACAGACTCAGTGTGCTGTTATTGTGCATGTTGGCTCGCTGGAAAGGCTCTGCTACACTAAATGAAACAGAGCCTTAATTTGTGTAATTGGTAACACCTGTGTTTACGCTACTATTTAATGTCAATTGCTGTTAAAAAGGTCAAATGTTTAGTATATCACAAGTCAGCTGACAACAATACAATGTTCTTGCACACCAGATCAGAGAAACTCAAAAAGTCTTGCACACTGTTGATCGTGTGAACTTTATTGACATTTCACTCCTCAGACCTTCCTTGTACTTATTTTAATATAAATAAAGCGATGGACCAGTGTATGGGATTTCTAACTTCTTTCATTTTCTTTTAAATTGTCCAGAAAAAAATGCACATCACAATTTCCCAGAGCCTGAAGCAAACAGTAAGAGACCTGCAGCTCTTTAGCCCCTCTCCTGTAGTTATTTCTAACATTTGAATTTATCATTGTTGTAGGCCTAAAGCGATTCTTACATTCACAATTGTTAAACATATTACATACCAAATAAAAAATGTTGAACATTTTGTTAACTAAAATTTGGTCATACGTCACATCCTGACCTGGCGCCTTTTCCTCTATATTTTGCTGACTATCAGTAGCAATATTTACTAGTCTTGAGACAAAGTCTCAGACAATTTAATGAATGTGAGGACAGATTTGTTGCTAATTTATTAGTACGCTCGCTCTGAAATTATTATTATTATATTATAAACTGATTTTTTTCTTTTCTTTGGATAATAAAGGTGGTGACTCCTGGCCTAATATGACATCCTTAGGTTGCTTATTTTATTGAACCAACAGTCAAAAACCAAAATATATTTAATGTACAACCATTTAACGAGGAGAAAAAACAAAAAAAACTCACATTTGAGCGGCTGGAACCAGATAATATATTAAAATATACATTTGGTATTTTTGCTTGACAAACTGCTAAAATGCTTAATCAGTTACAGAAATTGTTGCTGCTTAATTTTCTGACAGTGGACTAATAATCAGTGCTTGTTTACATTGTTCTACCCTCCATCATTGTGTCTTCAGTTACCAGCTACAGTATCTGTTTAAGTTGAGAAACTTCTGCAGTATAAAAATAAATCCTACCTTCAGATTCAAAGTGGACTCGTGTGGGGAGACATCTGGTGTGGTCGGTGTAGTCCAGCGTGCAGAGAACGGCCGTCTTCTCTCCCGGCACAGTGAACACCATCACCAGTATTGAACACAAAACGTTGCTCTCCATCACTTCCACAGATTTATGGAGTTCCTATAAACAAGCAGGAGGAGACAGTGCTACTAATGGGAAGTGGGGAAGTAAATGGGAAGCAAACTGGATTGGGACGAGCTACACAACACTGACCTTTAACATTCAGTTATTTTCCCACAGACAGACAGACACTCAGCTTATTGTTTTAGTTTAGTAGATACGCTGTTGTAGCTGTAATAGCAGGAGAGTTGTGAGTATCGCTGTCTGGAGCTGGGCAGCAGCAACTTTAGAGACAGTTTGCTAACACACATCAAAGCTAACATTATTTATTTTACTCGCTGTGTCGTTTTATTCAATATATCCTGTTTTGGTATATTTTTACTTAAAAACCTGCTTAAGCAATCGTTTATTAAAGTGGTTGCCAGTTAATAGTTTGGATTGATTGATCAATTTATTGTCCTACCTATAATGTAATGTTATTTTTACTGTACCTTTCAGATTTGATAATAAAGAATACCTTGTAACAGTTATATTGTATCTCCTGCAACTGTCCATTATGTGTCAGAACCTTTCAATAAACAAATGTGAGGGATCTTGGCCAAGAAATACTGATATCTGGACCAGAGTGTAGGATTGTGTCACATCTAACGGTGAGATTGAAACCAACTGAAACTTTACTGTTAAAATAAAACATTAAAAAGGTTTAATAAAATGTTGGCCCGGTCAGAAACCCACCTCAGTCTGAGTTATATTTGTGGGTGGCATCACAGCAGCTACTTCCAAAACTACTAATTTATTACATTATTTAACACAGACACACAAAAACAAAAAGTCTGGCACCTTCACAAGCTTCAGCTGCTGCTTGCGACCGGCGAAGGCGTTGAGATGTTGGCTGAGCGTGGCCAGAAAACTCCTTATGTCTGTCTGCATGTTGCTCTGTTCAACCAGGCTGCTCAAGGGAATGAACGGGGGGACGTTGTGACGACTGATCCTCAGCGTTGGCTTCATGTCTATCTCCAGGTTGTAGGTGTCTAAGAAGACGCCATCGTAGGCCGTCGCCAGAGACACGCACACTCCTTTACCTTGACGAGTCTTGACGACATCGTACCCACCTGGTGACACCAGCGAATACAACAGAGAGAAATACAGTTTAGAATTGAATTAATGAAACTAACCCATCATACTGTGAAGATAATAAAAACAACTGGCAGTGATTACCAATGATGTGATGAGCATGCAGAAGGTCTTTCAGTTGCGTGTGTCTGGCCATCAGCCGCAGCAGTTGTGAGTTCTCAGAGTCTTCATCCATTTCCTCCTCCTCCTCCTCTTCTCCTTCACGTGTACTCTGTTTGTCCATAGACGCCCTCAGTTTCTGGAGATTCTGTGGCAGGACGGTGTAACCAGCACCAACAAATCAACCAGAAAGAAAACCCATTTAGTGATACGCAGCTGCCTCGACACTCCTGAAACAATTAACTTGCTGCTTTAACAGCCTCCACTCTTCTTTTTGCAGTATCTCTAAAAACCTGGTTGCAAGAATTTGGAGGGGTGCTGGTATTTGGGGTTAAAAACAGGCTCTCAGTTGGCGTGTTGCAGTTCATCCTTACCAAAAATAGCCAAAAGTACATGGACAGGGATGTCCACAATCATACAGTCGATCTGTATTATCAGTTCAAAAGTATAAAGTATCTCCAGCACATTGGAAAGTAGCACACATGAGCATGTGGGAAGGTAAGAGGATGAATTAAAAAGTTAATTTGTTAAATGAATTAGATAATAAACTGATATAGGATGATATGCTTAGTGTGGGAATGATCATTTTTGCATCCCACGTTTAATTTTCACAGAAAAAAAACAACATTAAAATCATAATTATGCAAAAATATGTTGTGTTCTGTGTCTGTAATGTATGTTATATGTCTCACCTCCTGTCAGCCACAGATATTACAGATATTACAGTAAACAGTGTGAACTCATTAGACTCCAACCGTGCTCTCACCACCAGCTCTCCCCACCTTGTGTGTCTCAATCTCCGCCTTCAGCTGATCTCTCTGCAGCCTCAGCGCCTCCACTTTAGCCTTCAGCGCCTCCACACGACTCCGCTGCTGAGGCTGACTCTTCTTGCTTCTCGCCTGAACTTCCAGCCGACTCAGGTGACTCAAAACACCTGGCGAAAGACGAAAAATGCTCCCCATATGAACGCTCACACGAACCACACCACGTTTGCCCCAGCTACCATCAGCTAAAACCCCTACCACCACAACAACAACAACAACAACCCTACTCTACAAGCTGCACTTAACGTTAGCAGGGGGGGGTTAATATCGCCGCAGTTACCTGTCGCAGACGTCCCCTCCATGTTTCCGCAAGTAGTTTTCTTTATTTAAGTGTTAAATATCGTAAGTTAGCAGCACAGACGGAAATATTCGCTTCAAGTTTTCGGGTGGTTTGATTTTGGCGGCTGCCGCGTCATCGCTCGTAGCTCCGCCCACTGCCCCAACCCCGGAAGAGAATTCAAAAACAATTCGTGCTCACATGGACGGGCGAGAGATTTGCCAGCTGGTGGGGTTGATTTAATGCCTTCTGAACGCGATACACACAGACAGAGTTCACGGTCTGGATAGCGCACACATTGTGTTATATGCAGTCCGTGTTTTTGAGCCATAAAGTGCCACAAAACGAGTTGTTTTTGAATGTGTCAGTGAACAGCATGGTGCCACTGACTGTCAGCCTCATATCAACAGTGCAGGCGTGTAAAGGTGAGTCTGCCTCAGGTTGCTTTGTATCTTTCTGTCTACACCACATAATCAGACATAGTTTTACAGGTATTGTTGTTTCTTCTGTTTGTGTTTCCTCATATTCGGTCCAGTTGAGCAGCTGTTAAGAGATTTGAGGGTCACTTGGTGGTGCAGGAGCTGCCTTTTTCCTACACAGCCCACATCTGAATCAGCAGAGGAACAGCACCAGTAGTTATTTATAGCTAATAAATCTAAAGTTACAGCAGCAAGGGTTGTCAAGTGGAGTAAAAGTCACTTTAACGTCTCTGCAATAGTTGTAGTTAGTTTTCTAGAGACCTTATTGTGCGTTGTGCTGTATCCTGTGGTTATAGTTATGGTCCTATGGTTTTAATTAGTCAATTAACCGATTAGTCGAGTGACTGAGCAACTATTGCGATAATTGATTTATTGTTTGTGGTTTTTCAAGTAGAAATGCCAAAAATTCTGAGGATTTGCTGGTTTTTCTCTGTTTTATAACACTGTAATCTGAGCATATTGGGGGTTTAGGCTGTTGATTAGACAAAACAAGACATTTGAAGGGCTCTTGAGAAAAAAGAATCAGTCATATTCATAGTCATAGTCAGTGGTAAAAGTTATTGTTAGTTGCAGCCTTAATTTAATCATTAATATGAATAGGGCTGCAACTACCAATTATTTTCTTAATTAACTGTTCTGTCTTTTTCCAAATGAGAAAACCCCAAAGATACTCATTTATATATATATATATATATATATATATATATATATATCATAATATATTTATATATTATAATAATAAAGATATTCAGTTTCTTAATATCATAATAATAATATATTAATAAATATAAGAAAAACAGCAAATCCTCACATTTGAGAAGCTGGAACCAGCAAATGTTTCACATTCTTGCTTGAGAAATGACTCAAAACTCAAATTATGCTATCAAACATGAATCAATTGTTGAATTAACTACAAATTTTAGCTCTAATTATTTGTGTCTTTGTGGATTTTTAATTTATTTTAAAATATAAATAAAAAAAATATTTAATTTTTAAATTAGACATTTGTATATTGGCAAAAATTAAAAATATTTTTTTTCTGTCTCTGACTTGGCTCTCTGTTTTAGTGAAAACTTTTCAGATCCAGGCCCATTTGTTGCTTTTGACCTTCAAAATCCTCAGAGATTGGTTGCTGCTTTTGTGTTGCAGTACTATCAAAGGCAGCAGGTGGCAGAGTAGGAGGGCGCCTCCCCTTTGAGCCAAACCAGTAGAGTCAGTATTTTTGGATCAGCCCAACCAGGGGAAAGTTGACACAGAGGTTGTTTGACCTTGGTTTCTTTCAACAGACTGAACATTATCTCACGTAATAATGCTTTTCTGCTGCAAACGGCTCAGTTGAAGCAGAGGGAACAGTTATCTCAGCTTCTGTCTTATCTCTTTGGGAATGAATCCTTGGGAAGGAAGGGACAGAAATATGTAAAAACAGCTCAGGGGAACCCAGGGCACGAGGAGGAGGAGTACATGGGTCGTGTAGGGTCAGGCAAAATGATTTGTTTATGATAAAAGGGGGTCACAACAGGTAACAACTATGGCTGATTGTGGGTGAACGTCAGAAATGTGTATTCTCTTTCTCTCTCACTCTCACACACATATATTTAATCAGTGTTTTCAATTCCAAGGCTGCCGGACTCTCCTGACTGATGGGTGTGGACAAAGACTTTTCCCATCCGTCTGAATGTATGCCTACAGGAGAACCAAACTTTCTCCAATTGCAGCCGAGACTTAAAGACAATCAAGATGGACCCAACCGACCAGAAGCACTTCACGGTTGTAGACTATGTGATATTTGCGGTCCTGCTCGCCGCCTCTATGGGCATCGGGCTGTACCATGCGCTATCAGGCGGGCGTCAGCGCACGACCCAGGAGTTCCTGATGGCAGACAGGAGCATGAGCTGTCTTCCAGTTTCGCTCTCACTCATCGCCTCATTCCAGTCCGCTGTGGCGATTATAGGCGTACCGGCAGAAATCTACACTCACGGCACTCAGTACTGGTTCATTGGCTGTGCTTACGTTCTGGGCCTTTTCATTCCTGCTCATGTTTTCATTCCGGTGTTGTACAGACTGCGGCTCTCCAGTGCTTACCAGGTACAGCTGAACTGGATTTAAAATGAGTTTATATTCATTGTGTTTATCCTTCATGTTCTTCACAGTTCTCATGTTGCTTTGTTTTAACAGTATCTTGAACTGCGCTTCAGCAAAGCAGTGCGCATCTGTGGGACTTTGACCTTCATCTTTCAGACGGTGGGTGCAACGCTTCACATAATAAAGAAGGGAGGCAGCAATCCAACTTTTTCTCTACCAATAACAATTCCAATACCTCAACTCAGGGATACAGACTACCAATCTGATACCAGCATTCTCTTATTTAAAATCTGTATTCCTCACTGTGTGGAACTAATTAGGATCTTTGTAAAAAGAGTAGCTCGGACTCCTTAATAAATTATTTACAGAGACCCAACAGTTCCCACCATGAGCAAGCACTTGGCGACAGCGGCAAGGAAAAACTTCCTTTTAAGAGGCAGAAACCTCGAGCAGACCCCGACTCTATGTGGGTGGTCGTCTGCCTCGACCAGCTGGGGTTAGAGAGAGAGGGGAACAGAGGGGTAAAGAGAGAGCAAAACACACCTATTGTAAATTAAGAGACTAAGTACAATCACTTTGCGCCCGGATTATGGGCTGTTTATCGTTTGTTGATCGGCACAAAAACCAAAAATAACACATTGTGGTTTTACTGTGAAATGTGTGCCAGATTTCTGTGGAGGAACAGTCATATTTGGAAACAGCCACGGCTAGCTGCTGTTCGCTCATGTTGTCCAGGTACACTGTACAGATATGAGATTAGTGTCACATGACAGTAAAGCCTTTGAATCCTCAACCAATCTTCACATCTGACTCCAATTCAGTGGATAAGATTGGTGCATCCTTATAAAAAAGCCTGAAAATTACAACAGATGGATCCATGTATTGTTTTATTTTCTATATATTTTATGCAGCTTTTATGAAGTGGGTCGTCTCTGATTTGTCTTTTACTTTTCTGCAGGTTATCTATATGGGAGTTTGTGTGTATACTCCTGCCTTTGCACTAAATGCAGGTACGAAACTTAATTTGCTTTACTACTGTGTAGTTTTAAATAGACGAGATATGTGGTTCAATGTGTAACTGTGCTTTCTTTCAGTTACTGGATTTGAATTATGGGGAGCAGTGCTGGCTACTGGACTCGTGTGCACATTGTACACAACAATTGTGAGTCATTGCAGTCATTTTCATACAACTTAACTTAAAATTTGAATGTTGTTTTGGTTTTTTTTGATTTCCAACTCACTCTTTTTTTAATGAAATCAAATTACACTTTGCTTAGTCAAAAATGAAATACAGTATATTGAACTGTAGCATTTTGAATATGGCACATATCTAGTATTTGAATAAATTATTAATAAATAAATAAAGACGAAATTAATAATTAAAGAAAATATTTGTGTGTGTGTCTGTATTAGTAATTCCCTTGTGTCTTGTCTGTTCCTGACAGGGAGGTTTGAAGGCTGTGATCTGGACAGACGTCTTTCAGACTCTTGTGATGTTTGCGGGGCAGCTGGCTGTCATCGTGGTGGGAGTGCAGCAGACTGGAGGAGTGTCTGAAGTCTGGAGGAAAGTCTGGGAAGGAAACCGCATCTCTGCTCTCGAGTGAGTCCGCACTATAGTGTAGTTGTTAGAGAATAACCAGCAGCAGGAAGGGATGGGGAAATCTGTACACAATAACGTCACGATTTATTCATGTCAATATTTATTATTGACCATTTTGTGTCAGAGCAATGAAAAGTTATGCACATTTGAGTCCACATTGACTGCTTCTGTGCTGACTGTAAAGAGGATTTTGAAAACTAAACTAAAGTATTAGAAATGCTTGTGAAGTTCAACATCATACAGTGAAAATAAATTGAGAATTATTTATTTTTATTTATTTTATTTATTTTATTTATTTTACTTATTTTATTCTATTTTATTTCTATTTTATTTTATTTATTTTAT